TCTGATTTAGCTTCATGTGTCCGAAGCTGAGGGCTCCCTTCGTTCCCTGTGCCAGCTGCTCTGAGCTCCTCCTCTGTTTTTTTAACAGCTATCCACCACTGAGGAACCAAACAGCTGTAAGCTCTCCCTGGAGACCCAAGGAGGAGACATGTTCCCCACCCCCGCCCCCGCCATAAGGCAGAGGGGCACCTCTTCCTCCCACCCCAACAGTCCGACAGGTTTCCTTGCTGCCACGTTAGTGCGGGGATGTCTCTCCCATCCAGCTCCCATTTGTGGGGAAAGAGGGGCTCTGCGATGTGTTGTGCCAGAACTTGCATTTGGGTTTGAAGATCCTTCCTACCTCCCTATCCTGCTGACCTTGTGGGGACAGCAGAATGCTCTGTTCCTGATGCCCGAGATAAAGCAGGCACTTTGCTGGTTTCTGCTCATCCTCCTGCCCTGGATGCTCTCTGGCATCCCCTTGCAGAGCCAGGCCAGCAATCCCATACCCACCCAATATACACACTTTCCTTTACCCCGATACTTAACTACTGTCCCCGGTCCGCCCCACCCAGAGCAGAACAGAGCACTGTGCAAGGCACTGCCAGGCAGCTGTGTTCATGTTTCCACCCACCCAGGCTCCACCTCCCTTTCTGAGAACCATGGGCACTAAGTGGTTTCAGTGTGCTGGACAAAAAAGACCAGGCAGGGCAAGATGAGTGGTGCCAACCTGCAGCCTGTGGGACCCCTTGCTAGGAGGTTTCTGTCTATCGCTGGACTGGAGGAATGGGGCCAACAGTGCAATATGGTTCTCGGCTGCAAGCCGGACTCAGGATCTCAAGGAACCTTGCAGCCCAAATCTGCTTGGCACCTGACCTTCTCCATGTCACTATTTTTTGGCTGGGATTTGTAAAGCAACTTGCCCATCATCATCGGATCTGAGCAACTGGGGCACTGTCAGAGCGACGTACAGCTCTCCCAGTCAGCAGCAAGGGCTGTGCAGAGCCCAATCCTGCTTGGAGCTGGGAAATGGTGAGCCTAACCCAAACCTGCTGGAGGGGAGCCCATGCCACGTTCCAGTCGGAAGCTGGGAAAGGAAGCAAACCCAAGTCCTTCTGGAGGCAAAAAGCCAAGATCTCTGCTAAAAATGGGCTGAAAGTCAACCGCAGCCTCTGTGAGCTACACAGTCTTGTTCGGAGGCTGGGTCAAGGGAGGTTGGAGACCGGAGCTCATCCCACAGGCTTTCAGGATTATGCTCCTCACCTCCTGCTTCCCAAAGCTGATGAGGGCACCTGCCTTCCCCAGCGAATCAGAATGAAAGTGAAAAACGAAACAATCAACAGCCCCCGCAAACGCTCTGACCGGAGCCCCCTTCCCCAAGACACCCCCCCAGGCTTCCAAAGAGGTGACATGCAACCAATTATCAGCCAAATCCTCAGCAAACGTCAACCGGGGAGATTGGTGGAGCCAGGCTGACCTCCGGCCGATGATGTCAACCAGCGTAGCTCTGCTGTTGTCACGGCTGCACTGATTCACATCTGCTGGCACACACCTGCAGAGCTCCGGAGAAGCCAAACGGGAGGGGCTGTCTTACAGCAGCTGTGCTGAACGAGCACCATTCCACTGCTGGCCACTACGCCCTTCACACCAGCTGAGGACAAGCCTGAATAAACCCAGGGCTCTGACAAGATTTATAGGAAGGAGGTGGTGGGAAAAGAACAACTTCAAGTTTCATTAGTGTCTTTGATTTTTACAACTCCGCAGCTGCCGCGGTGGGAGGAGATTGCAGGCTGCAAACACTTGTTTCTACCCCCTAGAATTAATTTTTTTTTTTTTTTTGCACTTTCACTCCCTCCTTTTAAATAGCAAAAGAAAAACAACATGCAGCCGTGTTCTCCCAATGCTCAGCAGCGCAGCAATCACTTTGGTAAATACAAAGCCGCGGACAGAAGAAAAACAAAAAACTTTTGTTCGCACTCCAAGAAAGAAAAAAGGAAACAGGAAAACCCCTGAGATCAAAAACAGAACTAAAAAAAAAAAAATCATCAGCATAAATCACGTCAGCTGAGCTGCTTCCGGCAAGAATAATCCCGAAACCCACCCCAGCCCCACCCACAAGGCAAAATAAAATGAAATGAACAGAGGGCAAGGGCTGAGCTCCTAGGTGAAGTCTGAAGCCGCACGCCCCGTGTGCTCCTCCCTCACTCTTTCCCCTCCCCCAATACAATCCCAAACCACGAGAGAAAAGTAAGAGACATACAACAATGCAGCTGGCTGGCAGACGGGCATGGCAGGGAGCCCGCAGCACCGCAGAGTCCAAACTTAATAAATAAGGAGTAAAAAATTGTCATGTGTCTTTGTTCACAGTGCGTGAGTGAGGGTCCCAGCCTCCCTTCCCCATTCCCCTAGTCTCTCGGGTGGCAGGAGGGGTGAAGAGAGAGGCATAAACCGGTGATGTGCCACCGCTCCGGGCCAAGGGAAGTATGAGGTTCCCAGCAGAGCCTTCTTGTCTGAAGGAGGTTGCGGGACAGGGTTGGGAAGAGCCCTCTCTTCTCCAGCTGGAGAAGCAAGCCAGGGCTGGAAATAGCCTTCTCTCGTCCAGCCAGTGATGCAGGGCCAGGACTGGAACAGGTCTTCTCTCATCTGGCTCGATACACAGGACACGGCTGGAAGGGGCCATCTCTCATCCAGCTGGAGATGCAGAGCCAGGCTGGAAAGGGCCTTCTCTCATCCGGCTGGGATGCAGGTTGCAGGCTCCCAAGCAGCTGGAGATGCAGGGCCAGGCTGGAAAGGGGCCTTCTCTCACCCAGCTGGAGATGCAGAGCCAAGTTGGAAAGAGGCTTCCCATCCAGGGAACATGGGACAGAGATGGAGAGGGACTTGTCTTCTTCGGCTCGCTGGTGCCCGAGACACAAGGACTCTAGCGGAAGGGAAGCAATAAACCCACACTCCAGAGAAAACAACCAAGCCCCCCCACTTCCCCTGACGACACTGGAGGAGAGAGCGAGGAGGGCAGGTGAAATGAATGGTTCAACCAAGCCTCAGAAGAGTTGCTTTTGCAAAGGTGTGGGGGGGGGCAGCTGCCATGGGTCTCCTCCCCGTCCCCACCCTGTGGCGGTGACCGGCCGTAAGCTCTCGCTGGCATGGCCCCCTCCCCGGCTCGTCGTTTTGGCCGCGTGGCTACCTGGTGAAGAAAGGCAGGTGGTGCTGGCTGAGAATGCTGCTCGTACGGGGCGACTCTGTCTTGGCCATGACGTCTTTGAACCAAGACGCCACGTCCACTTCCAGTGTCTCATAACGCTTGATGAAGTTGTGTTCCTGGAAAGGAAGCCAGAGGGACCCTGAGCATAAACGCCCATAGGAATGGGAGATGGTGGGGAGTTGGGGGGGGAACATAGCATCTTGGGGGGAATAGGGCTGGAGGGATACAGCCCGCTAGCAATGTGGGAACACACACACACACACATCCCGTGGGGGGGAGGAAGGAGTGAGGGACACACATATACCCCCCGCATGGGGGAATGGACTCACGGAGACACACACATGCACGCCATGGGGGAGATGGACTCACAGAGACACATACCGCATGGGAGAGATGGAGTCAAAAACACACAAGTACCCCTTAGGGGAGATGGAATCAGGGGGACAAACACAGACACACACACACCCCTTAGAGACATGTAATCAGGGACACAGCCACACACACCACTTGAGGACATGTAGAATACACTGCCAGCTGCCAGCGCTCCTCTCTGCAACGACTTTTGCAACACTGCAGCAGGCAGCAGCTCTGAGTGAGTATGTGGGAGTAGGGGGGTTCTACTGCACAGTGGACAGAGGAGGGGGACTCATATTAAAGAAAAAGGACTAAAATAGGAGTAAAACCAAGGCAAAGAGAACAGGCTTGCCCAAGGCATTACAGAAACTCAGTGGCGGAAGTGGGAACAGAACCCAGGACTCTCAGCCCTCTCCCTGCTCTAACCACTAGACACCACTCCCTTCCCAGAGCTGGGGACAGAACCCGGGAGTCCCAATTCCCAGGCCCCCCATCCCTAACTGCACTCCTCTCCCCTCATCAGGAATAGAACCCAGGAATCCTGACTTCCCATCCCCCCATCTTTAACTACTAGACCCTACTCCCCTGCCAGAGCTGGGATTGGAACCCAGGAGTCCTGACTCCCAACCGCTGACTCTAACCATTAGACCCCACTCTCTCAAAGTGGAAAATACAAAATTTCATATTTGCTACTTATTTGGCATGATGTAGAAGAGCTGCAGCGGTTTTTCAATAGACCGACTGATTCACTGCAGCATGACTGCTGACAGAGATCTCTCTGCAACCCAGAGGGCCTCCCCCAACCTTAAGTGCAGTATCACACCAAGGCTTTCAGTATACCTGCTGCTAGGCTCACCCTGGTACAGCATGAAAATGGAGCAGGGGGATTGCAGCTGGGGCCGTATTTGATGCGTTTCCACCAGCAGCTTGGGGAGACAGGAGGTCGGATTTCTGTGTCAGATACTCACAAGTAGCTTGTTGTACTTTGGTCTCTTCCTGTGATCTTTAGTAAGGCTAAAAAGAGAGAAAACACATACAGAGTCTTGGACATCTCCACACACAACCCTCTGGGCTTAGGTTCATCAATACCCTCAGCCACTAGGGGTCAATCAAGCTCAAGAAACTTGTTTTGTCCCTTATCACGGGAGTGATTGTTTGAGAGCTCCCTAGCACACAGGCCTTTCCCACCAGTGCAGAATTGTCCCAAGCACTTAGGTTTCTGCTGCTTCCCTTGGGAGGCGCCTCGCCGACGGCCAGCAAGGCAGTGCAGGTTGGACTGCTCAGTGGCACGAGAACAAAGGCCCGGTGGTAGAGGGGGACCGAGCAGCTTGCGAGGCTGAGTGCCCAAGAACTGGGAATTAGGGAAGCTAACAGCGTCCTGCAAACAGGACAGGCTGGGGTTCAGTGCAGATGTACAGAAACATCACCTGCTCCAGGACCAGTGCTTAGCTGGCTCTCATCACCGTAGTAGCTGGGCACCTCACAATCCTTTTAACACATTTATCCTCACACTCCCGCAGGAGGAAGGAAGTGTTCTTACCCCATCACGCAGGGCAGGCCCAGAGCCTCACTCAAGGTCACCCAGGGAGGCTGGGACAGAGCAGGGATTTGAACCTGGGTTTTCTAGGGCCTAGGGAAGTGCTCTAACCCCGGACCAAGCATCTGGCTAGGAAGAGTCACTGCCAAGGGCAGAGATGGGGATTGATCTGTTGCCGAACCAGCCCCCCCAGCTGTCTGGCCCTTGTGTACACAGCCAGGTTGTCTGACCAGATGTACCAGCCCCAGGCCCCATGTGTGCTGTAGCCTGTGCTGAGGGGGCTGGGCCCTCCCAGACCCTAGTGCTAAGCATGCCCAGTCTCCTGGAAGGCAATCACGCAGGAGGCCTGAACGTTAAGGCAAGGAGGGGGGAGCCTAGAGCGTCTAGTGACCAGGGGCATCATTTCAGATTTGGGCAGGGAACGACAACTTTAACCATGATTCCAAGGGCTGCCTAGGCTCTCTAGTTTTTTTGCAGATGATAACTTAGAAATGAGTGGTCAGGAGCACTGCATCGAATTCCTACATCAAGAAAGAAAACACATATACAAACACCAAATAAAGCCATATTTTCAGCATATATGTAAGTGTAAAACAATCAGGGGATAATACAGCAAGATATTCCCAATCCAAGCCTTGGGGTAGAGTCAGAACTGTTCAGATGTGTCCTACCATTCAACCATTCAGACCTTTGTCCAGCTCAGCTGGTGGTGGGGAGGAGCCCATTTCAATCCCCGTGAATAAAGTCCCATATGAGGAGGGGGTGCCGCAGCCTGTTGCATCTGGGGGGAGAATTCTGGATTTGGGAATGACAGGTCCCAAGATCCCACCTCAGACAAGCCCGAGCAAAGACTGTGAAAGTTACAGGGTGGAAGCACTTGGTGCACAGGGATGTCTTACGTTGATGTCAAAAGGAAGAGCTGAACGGCTGGTTCTGAAGGCCAGCTTTGTTTATCTCAGCAAGTGGGTTACCGAACAGGCTGGTGTGTATGTGTACCATGTACCTCTTGTGGTTCCCCCGGCTGTCCTGGGCCCTACACTGCTAACAAATAGCAGACATTCTCCATTAGCTCAGACATCACGGCCAAGTGCTTTGGTGCAGGAGATGGGGGTTCTGCCCCAGCTGAGCAGCTCTCCAAGGCCGTTGTGTGCAGCACAGTGGCACCTGGCAGTTCCAGCTGGCTGTGGAAGTGTTACAACAGAGCAGAACATCCCTGAGTTACTCCTTCATGATCCTAGTGCCCAGTGAGCTGTTCAGTGCAGCGAAAGGTTGTTACAGAATAGAACAGGGTCAGATAGAAGCTGGCCACTGTCGTTTGAAATCCATGTGTGAGTGACAGGGGCTGTGAAAGACTTGCGTCTCCAGACCCCTCCACTGGAATTCCAGCCTGGGACTCCCCAGTTCCCACGGGAGTGCCAGTGGGGGTTCACTGCCATGTGGGGCTCTAAGAGGCTTTTCCTCCTTGCCACCACCATGCAGTTGTGTCAGGGTCAAAGGTTTGTCAACAGTCAAGGGGCAGAGGTCAGTGCTGCGTGACCCTGGGAGTGGCCTGAGCAGTGCCCCGTGGGTGTGTGTCAGTGTGATGGTCAGTCAGGCCTCCCAAGAGCCAGAGCTGTGCAGCTCAGCACGCTGGCTTCTCAACAGAGAAACCCTTACAATCCAAACCCCCTCTAGTGCAGCCGTTCTCCACCAGGGGTGCGCGTACCCCGGGGGTTGCACAGGTCTTCTAGATATTTGCCTCGTTTTACAACAGGCAACACAGAGAGCACTAGCAAAGCCAGTACCAACTAAAATTTCAAACACACAATACGTTTATACTGCTCAATATACTATACACTGAAATGTAAGGACCATATTTCTCGGTCAATCGGTTTATTTTATAATTATATGGGGGAAATGGGAAAATGAGCAGTTTTTCAGTAGGAGCGCGGCTGTGACACTTTGTATTTTTATGTCTGATTTTGTAAGCAAGTAGTTTTTAAGTGAGGTGAAACTTGGGGTACGCAAGACAAATCACTCCTAAAAGGGGTATGGTAGTCTGGAAAGGTTGAGAGCCTTGCTCTAGTGGGCACAACTTTTGATTAGCAACTTAACCCCAGGTGCCCTCTCCCCCAGTGCTGAGAAGGGCCAAGCCCCAGGCTGGCGATAGCGTTCTGCCAAGGTTCAGCCCTGCACACAGGTTAGGGAGCGTGAGCAGCCAGACATCAGGTCTGGGGAAGGCAACAGCTCCATCCTGAGCTAAGACCCTTACAGCACAGATCCATACAGCACTTCGCACATCACATGGCCCTATTCGTGCACCCCTTATCTTCCTAGCACTTATGCTGATGCTCATGTAACCTCTTCTCCGCTGCACTCCCTCGTGGCCCTAGCCCCCTGCACTCCCTCCCTATGCCCCCCGCCCCCCAGGCATTCGGTGCAGCCAGTCTCCTACCTCCAGCTGCTTCACGTAGCTCGCCAGGAACCAGCCGTGCAGCCCATTCTCCTGCCCTTCCCACCAGCTGCCATCCGGCACTTGCAGCACCGTTACCAGCTCCCCCGCCATGAAGCGCAGCCCCAGCCGGAGCCACTCCTTGGAGAAGGGGCCCAGGGTCTGACAGCGCGAGCCTTACATGCTACACCAACGGAGCTGGCCTGCAGAGGTGCCTTTTAGGGAGGGCATGGGGGGACCCCAACCAAAATTTGAAATGGCGCCCCTGCTCTGCCGTAGTACAAAACAAAGGGGGAGCAGGTCCCCCAGCTCCCTAAATGGAGCCCCTTGCCAGGGTATGGGGGCCCCTGTGCCATCTACTTAGGAGATCACTCATTGAGTCACATCTATTGAACATCTATTGATGATTTAATTGGGGATTGGTCCTGCTTTTGAGCAGGGAGTTGGACTAGATGACCTCCTGAGGTCCCTTCCAACCCTGATATTCTATGATTCTATGAAGTAGTAAAGGCTCATGGGCAGTTTAAGCTCTGACCATGGCATGGCCCCTCAGCAGCTGACACTGTGCCCCACAGATGCAGCAGATCGGTTCTCCCGCACTGGGCTCGGGGGCCCACGAACGGGGACTTGGCTCCCCAGCAGCGTGGCAGTCACTCACCAGTCTTTAACGAAGGACTGAAAGTCCACGGAGAAGCCCATGTTGTTTGGGAGCAGGGGAGGATCTTCCTGCAATACCTTGGTGAGCACCTCAAAGTCCGTTTTACAGTTCTTGTAGGGAAACTGACCGGTAGCCAGTTCAACCTGCAGTGGGGAGAGCAAGGGTTAAAATGGAATCAGGGAGCTTAGAGACAGTCCATGTGCTCTATCCACAATGCTGTGCCACTTCCATCAACTGCAATGAGATTTGTGGGGGCTCAGACTTCTGGAAATTAGGGGCCTAGTCATTATGAAATTACAAAGGTATCCAAGTGCCTAAAGATGCAGACAGGGGCCTAGTGTAATTCATAGATGTATAGATTCCCAGGCCAGAAGGAAACTAGTCTGACCTTCTGCATAACACAGGCCATCGGACTTCCTCAGAGTAAACCCTGTTGGAACTAGAGCAGGACAATCCAACGCAGATCCAAGGAACACCCAATATAGAATCCACCATAGCCCTTAGTAAGTTGTTCCCTTGGTTAACCACCCTGTTAAATATTTGGGCCTTCCCAGTCTGACTTTGTCCAGCTTCAACTTCCAGCCAGTGGATCTTGTCAGAACTTTGTTCAACAGAAGAGCTCATTATTGTCAAATTTCTGTGCCCCACATAGGTACTTACAGACTCTGATCAAGTCACCCCATCTCTTTGTTATGCTGAACAGATGTTTGGCATTAGCTTACTTATTCCTCTGGATTTAGAAGGCTGATCTGGCTCCCACTGAAATAGGAGAAGCCTTCCTACCAGGCGAACTTCAAGCACCCTGGTGTGAAAGTTTTGGTTCATGTTTTTGACCCCTGAGATGATCTGAATATCTGTTTTTTTTCCTACAAATGGATTTGTCCTGTTGCATTTCACTTAGCTTAGGCACTGGCCCTAGCCAGGTCTGTTTCGCTTGATTTCTCGTCAGTTTCGCTCTCTGGTCCTAAGGCCCTAGTGACAAAGGCATTATGTGTCCTGGTTTCACTGACGCAAGGGGAACTTTTTATCTTGAAAAGATATTAACACTTCCAAAAGTAGGTTAGTACGAACATTATGGTGGTGCCTAGAGGCCCCACTGAAACTGGGGCCCCATTATGCCAGACACTGCACAGACACAGAGTGAGAGACAGAGTCTGCCTCAAAGAGCTCCCACGCTAAACAGGCAAGGCAGACAACAGGAAGGATCATTATCCCCATTTTGTGGGTGGGAAACTGGGGCACAGAGGGATGACGTGATTTGCTCAAGGTCACAGAGGGAGTAAGTGGCAGAGCTGGAATGTGAACCCAGGACTCTTGAGCCCCACAGCGATGCTCTAGCCACAAGACCAGCCTATCTTCTGCATTCCTCTTGCTGAGGCAATTCCTTTTAAGAACAGGAGTGCCCAAAGTTTATGACACATCGCAGGGCTGCCCCAGAACCTGCATGCCTCACCCACACAAACCGGCTATTGGTTTGTCCTTGTATCTTCCTCAACAGACAAAGAGACACCGAGTTGGCCAAGGGTAAAAGCAGAGCTGGTTGGGCTAGAATTTCCTGTACCAACATTTAGAATAGTTTTCTGAACCTGAATCGGTAAAAAAAGCCAAAAATGGAAAAAAAATTCACAAACTGAAAAGCTGAAAAAAAAATAATTTTGGGTCAATCGAAAAGTTTCACTTCGATAACTGAAATGTTTCACTTTGGTTAGGACCTTTTAAAAAAATTTTTAAAATAATATATAACAACAAGTTTAGAAACAAAAAGTCATTTGGACTGAAAGATCAAAATGGGACATTTTGCCATTTTCAAAACTTTTTGTCATCTTTTGGGGGGGTAGGTGCTGATCCCAACATGTGTGGGCAGTTTCCATTTTGATGAATCAGTTATTTTCTGACAGAAAAAACATGCTGGTGAAACCTTGCCAACCAGCTGGAGATAAAAATTCAGCAGCTAATCAGCCCTACCCTTACTCTGCCATGAGCGGGAGAATGGCCAAGGGACACATCTTAGGACTTTCGCTATCTCAAGATCACTGAGCCCCTAGTGGCAAATCTCGGCACTGGGTTCAAAGCAGGGTTTTGCATGAGAAAGTAAAGAAGGGACTTCACTAACCAGGGAGATGCCCAGGCTCCACACATCTGCTCGGATATCATAGTCTGGTTTGGTGGGATCAGGAGGGTCTATCCTTTCAGGCTGGAAAAAAAAGTCAGTACACACTCAGTCCCATGGCGCTCACCTGGAGGCTAGGATCTTACATTCACCAAGCACAACACATGCCTATTAGAGACTGAGATTATGAAATCACGCCATTCTCTACTGATATACAGCCAGCTCTGGAGTGGAGGAGGGCAGCTGCGTAACAGCCACACAGCAATGCTGCAATGTAGCCCGGGAAGTGAATCTATCTACAGATTTCTAATGTGCATATCAGTGAAGTCAAGAGGACTCATTTAACCGGTTTAAAGTTTGGGCTAAGGGGTGGAATTACCTGGCTGAAATTAGGCCAAGCACACTGGGGCAAGCAAAGGGGGCCAGATCCCCAGCTGGTAAAATGGACCATAGAGTCATTAAAGACAGATCCCTGGCTCACCTAAATCAGCACAGATTCACTGAAATCACCAGAGCTGCATCCATTCTTTGAGTTATCTTTGAAAGCTCATGGCAATCTGGGGAGCTCCTGGATGACTGGAAAAAGGCTAATGTAGTGCCCATCTTTAAAAAAGGGAAGGAGGAGGATCCGGGGAACTACAGGCCAGTCAGCCTCACCTCAGTCCCTGGAAAAATCATGGAGCAGGTCCTCAAAGAATCAATTCTGAAGCACTTAGAGGAGGGGGAAGTGATCAGGAACAGTCAGCATGGATTCACCAAGGGCAAGTCATGCCTGACTAATCTAATTGCTTTCTTTGACGAGATAACTGGCTCTGTGGATGAGGGTAAAGCAGTGGAGGTGTTATTCCTTGACTTTAACAAAGCTTTTGATACGGTCTCCCACAGTATTCTTGCCAGCAAGTTAAAGAAGTATGGGCTGGATGAATGAACTATAAGGTGGACAGAAAGCTGGCCAGATAGTCAGGCTTAATGGGTAGTGATTAATGGCTCCATGTCTAGTTAGCAGCTGGTATCAAGCAAAGTGCCCCAAGGGTCGGTCTGAGGCTGGTTTTGTTCAATATCTTCATTAATGATCTGGAGGATGGTGTGGACTGCACCCTCAGCAAGTTTGCAGACGACACTAAACTGGGAGGAGTGGAAGATACGCTGGAGGGTAGGGATAGGACACAGAGGAACCTAGACAAATTAGAGGATTGGGCCAAAAGAAATCTGATGAGGCTCAACAAGGACAAGTGCAGAGTCCTGCACTTAGGACGGAAGAATCCCATGCACTGCTACAGACTAGGGACTGAATGGCTAGGCAGTAGTCCTGCAGAAAAGGACCTAGGGGTTACAGTGGATGAGAAGCTGGATATGAGTCAACAGTGTGCCCTTGTTGCCAAGAAGGCTAACGGCATTTTGGGCTGTATAAGTAGGGGCATTGCCAGAAGATCAAGGGACATGATCGTTCCCCTCTATTTACATTGGTGAGGCCTCATCTGGAGTACTGTGTCCAGTTTTGGGCGCCACACTACAAGAAGGATGTGCAAAAATTGGAGAGAGTCCAGCGAAGGGCAACAAAAATGATTAGGGGGCTGGAACACATGACATATGAGGAGAGGCTGAGGGAACTGGGATTGTTTAGTCGCGGAAGAGAAGAATGAGGGGGGATTTGATAGCTGCTTTCAACTACCTGAAAGGGGGTTCCAAGAGGATGGATCTAGACTGTTCTCAGTGGTAGCAGATGACAGAACAAGGAGTAATGGTCTCAAGTTCCAGTGTGGGAGGTTCAGGTTGGATATTAGGAAAAGCTTTTTCACTAGGAGGGTGGTGAAGCACTGGAATGGGTTACCTAGGGAGGTAGTGGAATCTCCTTCCTTAGAGGTTTTTAAGGTCAGGCTTGACAAAGCCCTGGCTGGGATGATTTAGTTGGGGTTGGTCCTGCTTTGAGCAGGGGGTTAGACTAGATGACCTCCTGAGGTCCCTTCCAACCCTGATATTCTATGATTCATTCACACCAGCTGAGGATCCAGGGCAGGAGTCTTTAGATCTTGGCTCACTTATGTCATCTCAAGCATCACAGCTCCCCCTAGAGCCACCCTGGAGAGCTGCTTCAGCTGGCCATTCTTCAGAGGTCTCCCATCTCAATACTGACCAAGCCTCACCCTACATAGCTGGCAAGATCAAAGGGCACCCCATCCCAAGAAACCACCCATCCCTGGGGCTCAGGCACCCTCAGCTGCCAATTAGCGCACAGGCAGCCTGAGGCCCAGCAGCACCCTCTCTGAGCCTCCTGTGGGTTATGACACGGCCCAGCCCTCACCGCCATGTACGCCGCGCAGCCCGCACTCCGGGTCTTGGCCTTCGAGTCCACCAGCCTCCCGCTGATCCCGAAGTCACACAGCTTTATCTGCCCCCTCTCGTCTAGCAGAATGTTGGAGGGTTTGACGTCTCGGTGGATGACGCCATGCTTCTCCTTCAGGTAGTAGAGCGCCTTGACGATCTGAAAGGACACGGCATTTCCCAGAGTCATCCCACTGCACCCACCTGACCCCCAGGCTCACCTCAGGAGGATCAGCAAAAGGAGGGGCCAGCTAGAAAAGACAAAGAGATCCCAGGCTCTGTATGCAGCAGGGAGGGGTCAGCCCCTCTGTACACAGCTCTGCAGAGAGCTCAGTTCTAGGCCCATCAATCCCAGACTTCCTGTCCTGGAGAAGGGAGGAGCCAGCCCCCCTCAATCTGATGAGATCGGATTGCAGGATCAAGGCCCCAGGCATGCATGGGGTGTTGTGCAGAGATCAGTGGGAACCAACCTGAGGCGAGAGATCTCTCTCTCCAGGAGCCCTCTTCCCAGCACAGACCCTGTCTGCACAAAGCCAACCCAGCTACCAAATGGGAAAGTCCGCTGGTGTGTCGGGTCCCTCCCAGCTGCTCACGTGGGAGAAAGGTTTGGCAGGTGCCCATCATGCTGCATCCAGCCCCACTTGCCCTTCCCCGACTTCCCTCCACCAGAACTCACTGCCACCGTCATCTTCCCCAGGATCCTCTCGGGGATGGGCCCCTGGATGCGTTTCTTGAGCTTCTCCGCACATGTGCCCATCAGCTCCATGGCAATGAAGACGTCTGTCTGTGTGGGAGGGAGACCAAGGCCAGGTTACCATGGGGTGCGACGTGTGCTTGGCTTTCCAGACAATTTTGCGGAAAGAAGGTGGAGGCTTTGAGTAACATCACACCACACTGGGGGCGGGCGTCAGAAATCGAACCCGGGACCTCTCTACAAGCACAAGCCTCGGCTACCTGAACTGGAAGAACCAGCTCTGACAGCTCAAGGCTGTAGCCAGGGCGTGCAGCCACAAGGGGGAGATGGAGAGCTGCAGAGCGAGCGCAGGGGGCTCTTACATTGGTGATGAAGGTCCCGAAGCACTGGACAATGTAGGGGCAGTCGTGGCTTTTCAGCACCACATCCAGGTCCATCAGGATCCTCTTGTTCTCCTCCTTGTTACCTGAGCGACGCATTTGCTGTGGTGACCAGACAACAGGAGGGGATTACAGAGCAGTTCTATGAGCGGAGAGCTGACTGCAGGGGTGAACAGTGACACCTGCTCTGCCCCGCCATGCAGGGGACCGTATAAGCCCTTGTTAATTAACGCGGATGATTCCCCACCCACGTAGGGCAGCGTTATCTCCAGTTCGGAGGTGGGGAAACTGAGGCACAGACATGAGGCATGACTTGCTCATGATCACACGGAGTCAGTGGCAGAGCTGGGAACAGAACCCAGGAGTCCTGGCTTCAAGGCCCCCCCTATTCCAACTTCTAGACATCACTCCCCAATCAGAGGCAAGAATAGAACCCAGAAGGCCAGCCCTTGCCCCCCATGCTCTAACTACCAGACTCCACTCCTCTCCCAGAGCTGGAAATAGGACCCAGGAGTCCTGACGTGTAGTACCGCCCTGCTCTAACCACTAGACACCACTCCCCTTTCAAAGCTAGGAAGAGAGTCCAGGAGTCCTGATCCTCTCCTCTCCTCATTCAACAACACCCCCTCCCTTCCTGATGGAACTATTCACCCCTTGCTTGGTCTGTTTTTAAGGCCCTGCCCCCGATGCTCACCTTCACGGCTATGATGTGTCCTGTTTTCTTGAATCGCATCTTCCACACTTGACCACAGGTCCCACTGCCAATCTCGCCCAGGTTCTCCAGGTCATTGATCTCTGCTTGGTACCGCTGCACAGAGACACATACACACAGGGCTACAGGAGGGGCCATACAACGGAGCCCATGTCTATACGCAGGGGCCCAGCAGACAACCCTGAGCTAGGACAATTCCCAGTGGTAAACTCCATGGTAAGTATGCCAGCCAGTGGGGTACCAGGCTTCACTGACTGGCACACTAGGTTCCCCCTGGCCTCACATTGCACCCACCTGCCAGTTCTCTAACCCACAATGGAGATCGAAAGGGCAGGGAATCCTCAGTTCCCCTCTCCCTGCAGGATGGGCATCCCAACAAGGGGCAGCATATGCATGTGGTGAGGGGCGCTTGCCCTCATGCAGCCTGTCCTGGGGCAGAGGATTTTGTCTCAAGCCAGAACCACACTGGGATCACTCACCCAGCCGTGAAATGCAGCCACCTCGGAGTGGGATTTGGCAGCTGTTTAAAAGCACAATGCCACACAACAGCGTAGGAGAGGAAACCTGATACCAATCAGGGATACTCTGCAATAGTTGGCACCTACAGTTCTACTGACAGAGCAGCACTGAGAATATGATCCCTTTGCACTTCTTCCAACTCACCTGCCCTCCTATGGTCAGGTAACCCGTTTGCTTCATGATTTCCTGCAGCTTCTGATCTATCTCTATACTAGAGAGAGACATGGAGAAAGTTTGGATGGAGACAACATACCAAATCAAGTGACTCTGGCTCCGAGGAGGAGCTCTCCTGCCAGGTCAGAGTCCAAACTAGGCACTGGCTGAGGACCCCAGCCCACCTGTAACAGCAGGCCCATCAAGTCTAGTGGTCCCACCGCCCTGTGGCACTGGATTAGCCCAGTGATCTGTCTAGCCCACCAGAATAAGGTGGGGAAAATCTCACTGGCTGAGCCAGGTGGCCCCGCTCGACCTCTTTGGCCGAGCCAGGTGGCCCGCTCCACCTCATTAGCCAGGCCAGGCAGCCCGCAATGCCAGTTTACAGGACTCGACACAAAATAGGTGATTGGTGCAGCAGCTGCATTACACGCAGTACCCTGTAGAGGGAGCCAGCTAGCCAGGCCAAGAACAGCGGCCCCAGGGGTTTCCTTAGCTCAGCCCCATCACCACCACTTGGGAGTGGTGTCCTTTCCCCACCACTTACCTCTCCATGCTCCTGGGTATAGGGAAGGGTGGCTGGGGCAGGCCCAGCATGTGGCGGGGACGTGGCTGGTGCGTTTGATGCTGGGGAGAGTTCTCCGAAGAAGAGGAGCGGCTGCTGCCATCGTTCGCCAGGGGGAGCTGCAGGGCTGTGGGAGTGAGCGAGAGTCAGGCCCTCAGATGCCTGGGTCCCTTTCCACACTCTGCTCCAGAGAACCCCTCCTCCCCCCGCATCTTATAGCCCCAGATCCCTATCTGTGTTGCATGGGGTTGTGAAGGCCTCGCTGAAGGGGGGATGCGATACCCACAGCCATGCTGCTTACTGTCCAGCATCCCGACTTCCAACACGTCCCATCGCTGACACTGTGCCCATCAGAGAGCAGAGCCCTGTGTGGATGCCACTAGCTGCTGGAATGCACAGCACCAACCCTTCCCCTCACCCTGGGCCATGCCACCCTGGAGCAGATTGTAGGAACCTATGTGGACCTGGCCTCCATGGGGCGACAGACCAGGTAAGACATAATGGGTCTTCTCTGCATTTAAGTCCCATGATTTGATAAAGCAGATTTTCCGACCTGGGCTGCAAAAGCCTGTTTTCCTCTCATACTAGGGTTGCTCACCCCAGGCCTCAGCAAAGTGGTTAACAGCTGTTGGGAGCGACTGTGCTGTGCTGGAATCCCAAGTGCTAGATGTACACGGACCCACAGGATACAGCTGGGTTTGGCCTGCAGACTGGTCACCGCAAATGATCCTGACCCTTCCGAGCAGCTAATCCTGGTGGGTTTTATAGATGGCACTTGAAGCAGAGACAGAGGCAGCTGGGTGATTTGTCCGAGGCCACCCCAAGTTAGGGCGGGGAACCCAGGCATCCTAGCTTGAGATTTAACCACACAATGGGCGTTGTGTAGCTAAATCCTCCTAGCTGCTTTTGCAATTCTCAGCCCTGACTCCCAGCTGGCTGCCCACACTCCCTGCTATACCACTGCTGTAATTCAGCCAACTGGCAAAGACTGGCAGCATGCCTTAAATAGAAGGAGTCCATCAGGTGAGATTTAAGGAAGTGGTCAGTGATGGAGCCTCTTCAGGTGTGTCAGTTTCCTGGATCAGTTTCAACATAAACCGATCGTCCCCATGTTAACAAGGGAGGCAGCTCTGCCACCAAAAGGCTGGGAACCTGCCAGAATGAGAAGAGGAGAAAGCAAGGCCCACTGTTTGCCCCTGGAAGTTTGAGGCAAAGTTTTACTGGGGCAAGTCCATGAATGAGCAGGGAGGTCGTTGCAGTTGTTACCCAGCCTTACCACATTCTATACCACACTGGTAACGGGGAAGAGGGGAAGGACTGAATCTTCCCACAGGCTTGAAATAAAACAACCCCTCCCGCATACTGGGGCAGGGAACCACGTGAAGCACAGAGCGTAGCTAGGGCACACACTCAACAGCTCAGAGCACAAGTGGGACACCCCATCTGAACTTCTTCCCGCTCACGGGCCAGAAACACAGAGCTATGGCCTCTGCTTGCAGGAGCGCACCTGTAGTTCACATCCAGACCTCACCGCCCAAGTGGAGGAGCTGTCCTCAAGAGACTACAGATTCCAGCATACAGTGCTGCCAGGTCTTGGAAGAAGGTGGAGCACAGCATGCTGGGACAGGTAGTCCCTCCTCCACCCACAGCCTGTGCCCCCTTGTTGAAGGTAGGGAGGCTGCCTGTAGAACTCGATGGGTTGTGCTTTGGCTAGAAAGTTGCTGTCACATTCTGGCCTCACTCTGCCCAAAGCATCACCCCAGAGGCCAGCGAAGTTACCGCAGGTCAGTGGAATCCGGCCCTCGGTATTTAATATTATGCAGCTGACCGCAAGCAGGAGCTTGCTAAAACCATCCCTCCTCAAACAATGCCTAGAAACTCCCCAAGCCAGCTTTCAATGGCCAAGCCAAACTACCCTAGGCTGTTAACCTGGGCTGAAGGGAACACCCCTCACCCCAAGGGCAAGGCCACTTATGGAACTGTGGGGTCATTAGAAGAGAGTTCAAAGCATGTTGTACCCAGGAGGGAAGGGCTGCAGCTGCTGCGACAGGAGAGCTGGTGAAGGGACCTGATCCTTTCAGACAAAGACATCGAATGCCCATTGACTGAGCCAGAACTCAATTCCCACACACAGGTTAAAGAAGAACCATTTTCCCACACTGCCCCAAGCAGCTTGAATCTGGTCAATTTCAATAGCTTGAAGAGTCTTTTACCAAACAAAAATACTTTACCCTCCTAGCATCAGAGGATCTCAAAGCACACTGGCAAATAAGCTCTGACAAACCAAGCTATTATCCACCTCATACAGAAGGGTCACCAGTGAGAGACTTGCCCAGGGCAACCCCAGGAGAACCAGAAGTAGAACCCAGGAGTTCTGGCTCAGTCTCTTTTGCTGAATTTGTTCTTACCACAAGTCAATGCTCCCTTTATAAATTTGCTTCCACACTTGCTGGTGTATCCAAGTGCTGCAATACTGGAATGGATAACTGCCCAGGCCAGGACTTGAAACTGCTCTACTCCCACATGAAGTGATCCAATTCCTCGTGGATTTTTTAAGATCACTCAAGGCTCACTTTGAAAGGTCCCACCTGACTAAAAATATGGGGCCAAACCCTCCAGCAGTGTAAATCAGGGCAGTGCTATTGACATTAGTGAAGCCATGCTGGTTTACACTGGCTGAGGACTCTGCCCATTGGTTTTTAATGATAAACTAAGTTGACATGTTCCCTCTGGCTTTAACTGCTGCTTGTCAAGGTGTGTGAAGTTCTCTCCCCATCCATGCACACAACCCCCTCCCCTGCCTGATTTGCTCCATCATGTCATGATCCAAAGCGAACCACATCCCAAGGACTTCAATAGCATCCGATTCCAAGCCCATTTAAATCGACTTGAGTGGACTTTGGTTAGACAGGGTGGTGCAGTAGCAAGGGCAGCTGGAGATCTGAGTTCTGTTCCCGGCTCTGCCGCTGATTTACTGCAGGGTCCTAGACAAGTCACTTCCCCCTATCTGTGCTTCTGTTTTCCCTCCCACCCTTGGCCCGTCTTGTCTGATTAAACCGTAAGAGCTCTGTGGCATAGACCATCTGTCTCTGCATGCTGTGCCCAGCGTAGGAGGGTCCTGATCTCAGCTGAAGCCTCTTGGCACTAACTGTAATATAAATATTTATAATACTGAGCTCCACAGAAACTGCCCCTAGTTCCAAGCAGCTCACACTTAGCTCTTCCATTGCACTTTCCACCAGTAGATCACAAAGTGCTTTACAAGAGAGGGCAGTATTATACCCATTTTACATATGGGGAAACCGAGAGGGGACAAGACATGCCCAAGGTCCCAAAGCAGACCACAGATGGGACTAGAACCTATACCCCTTCTACCCCAGCCCAGGATGTGCTGCAGTCAGCCACACTTCCCCCCTAACTCAGTAGGAGCGCTAGGTACTCGAAAAATCTGGCCCAAACTGAGCCTGGAAGGGACCTGGTTCCCAAATGCTGGGCTCTGAAACCACAGTGCAACTGGCAAAGGGAGCGCCAGTGCTTAGCACAGAAGATGGGCAGCCAGGACTCCTACCTGCTCCACCACTCACCTACTGGGTAACAGATGGCAACTCATAGCGGCTCACTGCCAGCGTTAAACACCTCACTTCAACTGAAGCAGGGAACGCCCTGGCTCACAAAATGCCACTGTCTGTTCTTTCTCATCTATTTGCTTGGTGCATCTGACATCACTTTCTACCTGCTCGGTTTCAGAGGAGTCAGTTTCCACCTTTGTTTGCCTGGGTTCTTCCAACACACAGCAGGGGAAGAGCCCGTGCTGACTGCTGCCAGACCCCAGTGAGATCAGGGTCCTATTGTGCCAGGTGCACCTGTAGATCCCCCTTGTCCCCTGATCAAGCCTGGGGCCCCCATTATAATGGGTGCTACAGACACCTAATGAGACACCTGCCCCCAAAAGCGCGCAGTCTAAATAGACAAAGGGGAAACTGAGGCACAGAGCAGGGAAGTGATTCACAGGAGGTCACACAGCAGTTCAGTGGCGGAGTCGGGAACAAAACCCAGGTGTCCTGAGTCCCAGGGCAGTGGCTGATCTGCTGAACTGCGTGCTGCAAAACCACAAAACTTGGCAGGAGGCCTCGGGGACAGGAATCTGCCAACGCCCTGTCTGCACAGTGGGTTTGCCCCAGTTACTGCACTTCTGCGTTGACAGCCCGAGCCAGGTTCACACCAGGTCAACCCGGCCTGTCATTGAGGAAGTGTGGGCTGCGTCAGTGGTTTGCTGTGCTGCTGCCCCACCAATGGCTGAAATCCCCACTTGTGGAAAAGGCCTGAAAACCACGGCTTTTTAAACACAGACCAGGTCTGGAACTGTGTGCCTTTAACCTCATCTCACCCAGCTGTCCAAAGGGGAAATGACACATACTTCACAAGGGCGCTGGCTAGGAGATCTAATGTCTGAGGGGTGGCACGGGGTACCAGGCTAGGCCTGCTCTGAGCCCCACGGATGGTTGGAATCTCCATTTGTCCACCAGCCAGTTTTGGAAGAGCTGGCCTGACTGCAAGGCCATGGATAGATCGCAGTATCGGTGTCTTGGTTACCCACCAGCAAAACAAGGCTAACGCTGCCCTACAACCCAGCCTCCGAAGAAGATAGTCTGAATATTTGCCAAGTGGCTTTACTGCAAAAAACTTTTGAGCCCCTTGGTTATGCATCTGATGAAGTGAGCTGTAGCTCACGAAAGCTTATGTGCAAATAAATTTGTTAGTCTCTAAGGTGCCACAAGTATTCCTTTTCTTTTTGGTTATAAAGGAAACACAAGAGGAAGCTGCTGGACAAATCCCTCGAGAATCAGGCCATGATGGAAACCGAGACATCCCACTGCTTATACTATTTTAATGGGGCTTTAGCAAACAGGATTTGATGCACTCCCTGGATAATCTGGCTTCACAGCCTCCCCTGAACCTTTCGATATGCTCAAGAAATAGCTGCGCTATAGTGCAACTCCAGGACAGCGTTGGTTTCAATGGGATGCTTTCCATGGCTAGGTTTGTAAAGGAAACAGGAGTGGTATTCATTAACACAGAGGCAGGCTCTTTCTCCTGACACACGCAAACTGGCTGTATTGAACCCTG